TGAAAATCATAACAAATAAATAATAATTAATTCAAAAAATAAAAAACATTTTTAAATAATAATAAAAAATATTTTTAAAAATTTAAGTTATATTAATAAAATTAATCTTTATTTTTAATATAATAATCTAATATATAAATTACAAGAGAAAAATTCATTCACTTAAAAATAAGAGTTAAAAGACTTACTTTTTATTATCATCATTCGTTTATTTAGTAACCTAATGAGTTAAAAATAATAATTCATCTTAACTATTAAATTATGAAATAAGTTTGTGTGAGAAACTTACTCTTATACTTACTCCTGAAATAAGTTAATATCTTGTCAAATTAATTTATAATATATACTAATAAAATATATTTATTTTCATTTAAAAATATTATTTTGTAAAATGAGCAGATCCATAAATCTATAAGTTAGCCTATCCCAAGTTCATGTATGTCATAACCTAAATAGGTCGGATCAAAATTAATATGATTTAATTCAAGTCATAATTTTATTAGCTTGGCCTATCCTGACCTTTTCCTTGCGTCTGTTTATTGGGTTACGCCTATTTTGACACCTTTAGGCATAAAGATCATGGGGAACTAAGATATTAATAAGTTTGAATACAATACTAAAGAGAATGTTGTAAAGGAGAAACATGAAGAAGTTATTACAATTTATCACTAGTGCAAAATGAGTTTTTTACATCACCCAATTCTCGTCAGACCAAAAAATAATTGGAAAGGATTTGTCTCAACAATTTTTGCAAAATATGCTCCTAAGCATATAGACAAACATATGTTATATTATTCAGTGTAATAAGCATGATTACTATATCATGTATTGGATGAGAGTTATAGTTTGTGTTGGTATAATTGATTCTTGGACGTATGTAATTGCTTTCAATATTTGTTAAGTTTATTTACCTTTATGTGTATTGCATGTTAACAGGAATCAAATTAATGTTTCAGGTATTTCAAGATTCATCCATCTCCACTATCCGAATATAATATTGTACAAATTAGAAAGCAATGAACAATGTTTTTCGTTCAACATTTCTAGTACTTAGTTTGTAGGTTATTGTTTGCATTGTATTATATTATGTACTTTAACATTTAGATAGTTTAGTTTTTATACTAGTTTAGACTTTGTATTAGTTTAATTTTGTAATATTTACCTTTTAAGTAATTTAGTCTTTGTATTAATTTAGCTTTTATATTGTATTGTTGTATTTTTTAATTATTGAAAATTTAGAATCTAGACTGGTTGTAAGGCAACATAAACAAAATATTAAAAAAAAAGGACGAAATTTTACGTCGAGTATGTTAATACCCGACGTAAATTTACGTGAAACCAAGGTCATAATCGAAGTAAATTTATATCGGGTATGCCCTTGGTTCGAAGTAAATTTACGTCTTCTGTATTAATGTCAACCTTGTTGTTGACGTAAAAAGGCCAAAATGACAGACATAAAAATTCCATTTTGTATTACTTTATGAAACTTTTATGGGAGGACCTATTAATTCCTCCTTACTAACAAAATATGAAGATCACATGACTCAATTTGTGGGAGGGAGTGGAGGATTGATTCACCTCATATAAATTATCTTATAAATTTTAATATATAATTTATTTTTCTTGTAAGATCATGACAAGTTGAAGTCAGTAACTAATGAAAGAAAAATATATAAGTTGGAAGCCTCACACCTATAGATTAAGGCCATAATTCAACTATATGAGTTGGTATCACTCATGGGTACTAGCTATGACACAATAAGTAAGTTATTACTACCTATCTTTGTTGAGATGTGACATAATGAGACTAAAAGTTTCCATCTATACCCATAGGTGAGATAATCATTATACTAGATGATGTGTCCTTATTGTTGCAATTGTCTATTGTGAGCCACATTTATACTTAGATTCACTTGGATGTACGTGAAACAACAAAGGGATTGATAAAGTTGCTTGGTGTTGATTTTGCATAGACAAAACATTATAAGGTGGACATGTCTGTTTCAATTAGTTGCAAGAGGATTATGATGATGCATGTACACACAAACGATGAACCCTTGCAACGCAAACATATTTGATGCATTTGGTGGGGTACATTATGTTTGCTAATAAAAGTGTGACAACAATTATTGCATCATACTTAGGTCTATTCCAAAATCTTAGTAGATGTAACGATTATTTTTGGGGAGCAGTTGCATTCACACATATGTATGAACAACTTGATGATGCATGATATTCAAATACAAAGCAATTAGTTGGATATGCTGCTACATTATTGCAAGTACATTTTCATTATTTGACTATTTCTAATGTTAATTATTAAAGTAAATGGTAGAAAATCATATGAAAAAAATCCCTATTTGTATTATGCACACTAGAGGAACAAATATATATTGATATCATGATACAAAGCCAATATAATTAGCTATTTCTAATGCCCCTCTTCAAGTGTGTGCTTATAAATCACATGTACCAAGCTTGTTATAAATATAATCAATTATAAGACCCTTAATGATTTGGGGAAAACACCTATCAATTGATCATTGAAATTCACAAACTGAATGATAATGCCTCAAAATACAATTTTCTCATAGATGAAATGATAATTATCTTAATATGTTTGGTCATTTCAAGAAATAAATGGTGTTAGGTAATATATAAAGAAAATTAATGGTCACAAATGAGAGTCATTTATGTGAGATCCCAAATATTAAGTCTTTATGCAATTGTTTGAGCTAAATAAGCTCACAAGTGGCAATGACCATAACTCTATACTCTACTTTTGTACTAGATATTGTCACTGTATTTTTCTTCTTGCTTTTCAAGGAGATCAAATTGTCACTAATGAAGATACAATATCCAGAGGTGAATCTCTTAATAGAGGGAGAGTCTGCTCAATCTGCATCAAAATAGCTTATAACTCAAGTGTGATTATTATGACCATATAATAGGCCTTTTCATGGAGCACCTTTAATATACTTCAAATGTGAATGATTGCATTCCAATGTCATGTACATGGGTAATTAAAAAACTGACTTACCACACTGACTGCAAAGGAGATATTAGGATAAGTAACCATAAGATAGTTCAATTTTCCAACAAGTCTCAAGATCAGAATGTGGCTCTCCCTCTATAGGGAGAAATTTTGTATTTGAATCCACGAGTCAATAGGCTTGGAATTCATTAATCAAATTTCTTGTAAGATATCTAATGCATGCTTTATTTGAGAAATAATAATTCTATTGTTGGATTGAGCTACCTCAGTCACTAAGAAATATGTTAGTTGTCAAGGTCTTTTGTTTGAAAATGATTATAAAGATATTGTTTTATTTGAAAGATGTCATGATGATCACTACTTTTAGGAACAATGTCATCAACATATGCTACTAAATAAGTACACCCATTATTTGCTTGATGATAAAACACCGAATATTTGCTTTGACTTGAGTCATGCCAAATTGTTAGACCATTACACTGAATTTGCCAAATCATGCCCTAGGAGATTACTTCCCAATCATGTGGTTGGATGCATTGGTGTTTTATAGTCATTGGATCATCCAACTTGAACTTCTTTACAAATTCCTTCATATATTTTTTTTGTTTAGTGTATATATAAGATATCAACCAACTGTTTAATTAAGAGTCGTAAAAAAAAAAAAATCAACTCGTCCATCATCCTCATATCAAATTCATTTTGTATAACCTTAGGAAACTTATCACACCAATGTTCATTAGTAGGACTCACAATTATATCATGTACATAAATTTGAATGATTATAAAGTTAGACTCATAGTGTTTGCAAAACAATGTATTGCCAACTTTCCATCTTGAAGTAAACAATTTTAATTAAAACTATACTAAATCTTTCATACTAAGATCTGGAAGCTTGCTTAAGTTTATACAAAGTTTTATTAAGTTTAAATATGTGATTAGAAAATTTTGCACTCTTGAACCTAGGGGTTGTTCTACATAGACTTCTTTCTTAATGTCACCATTGAGGATCTTTACTTACCTCTTATACAATTGTATTTTATTGAAGGCAATAAATGCAAGAAAAATCTATATGGCCTTAAGTCTCGTGACTGACACATAAATCTCAATGTAGTTTATACCTTCTTGTTGTAAGTAACCTTTGACCACTGATTTACCTTGATCTTCTAGCTTGTTCTTGTAGACCCACTTGACTCCAACAACTTTCTTATTCTCAAGAAATTGAACAAGCTTCCATACATTATTCTTTTGAAAGATCTAGCTCTTCTTGCATAACTTTGACCTAGTTTCATCTTCTAATGCTTCATATATTGTCTTTGACTCAATACTTGAGATGAAGGCTGACCATGTTTAAATGATAGTCTGAGTCTAAATTTGTTGTTTAGGTCTTTAAGTATGACTTTGGTTGGGTAGCCTCACACAATCAAATGATTTTTGTAAATTGCTCTCTCCTTGGGCCTTATCAAGCATTAGATTCGTCTAGTTGAGTATTAGACTCATTTGGTCCATCAATTGATGGTTGAAGTTTCTTATTAACTTGTAACCCTTTAAATAATTGTAAACTCCTCCAGCCACCCAGCCACCCTCCAGCCAGCCACCCTACAACTTCCCAACTACCTCCCTACAGCCTCCCAACCACCTCCCTACATAGAAATGGAGCTCTATATAAATGGAGAGAAAGAAAGAAAAAAAAAAGGGGAGATGATCATGAAAAAAAAAAAGGATCCATCATCATCACACAACCACCATCACAAATAAACCCATAGTCAAAACAACAACTAAAAACTCAACAGGGCGATCAACGATTAATAGAGGCGATCAACGATTAACAACAAAGACAACAATTAATAGGTTCCCAATTTGTAGTATTTGTATCCCAATTCCCAATGGTAGCATGAAGTATTTGTTGTATACCTAAATATATTGTACATATAAAAATTATAAAAATCAACAACAAAAAAATCATTTACCATTACCACTGACGACTACCACAACGAGTTCCACCGCCTCATCGGCGGCCATCACAATAAACCCACCATACCACCGACGGCCACCACCGTACCACCGATAGCCGTCGTAGCCCAACCACAACCTTAATCTCCGCCTTTACCACCTTATCCACCTTTTTTTTTTTCGGCAGCAAAACCCTTTTCCTTCACCCATTCCCAGATCTAGACTCACACGGTCCCGACTCCCATCTCCTCTTTCACTCTCGTACCCCACTCTCTCCCCCATCTCACCATCATATTCTCACCTTTTCTCCCCATTGGAGCCAGTTTCTTCCCACTACCCTCACCTCATTTGCCATCTTCTCTGTGGCCCAACCATTGCGCCACTCAAGAGTCACTTTCGCCAACACCGCGCCGCCACTGCAATTCACAATACCACCAATCGAGCCCTATCTCACCATCAAAACCCTAACCGCGCTACGAGCCGCACTGGAGCCACCACGTCCTCCCTCTCTAACTGTGTCACTCACCGCACCTAACCCCCACTCCTCCATCATAGGCCATTGCGCCGCGCCACCACCAATGTATTCTTCCCTTCTCCTAAGGCTCCCATTAGGTTTAGGTCCCATCACCTGCGGCTCCCATTAGATTTAGGTCAAGAAAATGGGTCAAGAGATCGAATTGGGCTGAAAAAGGTGTGACCCAAATTTGGAAGGGGTGAAAATAACATAAATGGTTTCAAATAGTAATCTAAAATTTTTTATGAGTTATTGGGCCTAATATTTTTTTTGTTCTTTTTTAAACTGAACAACATAACAAAATAAATTACAAACACAAAATTTTATTATTATTATTATTAATTTATTTGAATAAAGATAATTTTAATTTTTTTTAAATAATAATTTAAATTAGCATATCATTATTATTATATTGACAATTAAATTATCGTTTCTTTTTTTTCTCGAGTACTATTAAATATGCAATATTATTGTTATTAGAGTAGTAAGAAAATATTTCATAAAAGTTTAACCACTTTGGATGCACATCTATTTTGGTTGATATAAAATAATAATAATCACTTCAAATGTACTTTTGACTTGATTATAATAAAATATTTAAAAATATATATACATTTTAAATCTAAATAGAAATTACAAGTACAATAATTTAAACATTTAAATTACTTTGGGTGCACTTTCAATTTAATTATTATTCAAATTATAAAAATGAAATCACTTTAAATGTACTTCTAATTTGATTATTATATAATTTTTAGCCTACGTTTAACTTAACAACATAAATAGATAAACAAAAATAAATTATTCATAATTATTTATAAGAAAGAACTACGTTACTTTGATTCTCCATTGTATCCTGGGGATACGTAGGAGCGAGGAGATGATCTTTGTCGAGCTAAAGATATAAAAATATATAATATTTTATTTTTAGTAACAATATTTAATCAATATAAGTTTGAGGGATAAAATAGATAATTTTAAGATATTTAAATTTTTTACATCTAATTAAATGTTACCGTTTTTAGAATGGATGTTGTAAGGTGTTAATATCTTCCTTATACATAATCGACTCTCGAACTCAATCTTTATTTCCTAAACCACTTTTTTTTTTCTTTTTAAAGGTTTTTCCGGCATTTTTCCTTAAAATAAATATTTATGACGACTCCATTATTTTTCTTTCATTTAGAAACTTAATTTTGTTGTCCAGTCGTAATTTTGATTGTGACAATAATTCATTAGCTTAATTTCTTATCAAGCTTAGTCATTAAACTTAACATGAATGACATATTCTATGCTAGATCTTTTAAAGTTAAAAACTCTATAAGCCTTGGATGTCTAAGATTATCCAAGTAGGATTCTTTTATCACTATTACTATCAAAATTTTCTCTAGTATTTAAAATGAAACACTTATAGCAAAAAAACAAAAAAAAAAAGAAAAAGAAAATGGAAGTATGAAATGTTGGGCTTTCTATTCTTCCACAATTTATAAGGATTCTTTTTAAGAGTAGGTCTAATGTAAATTTTGTTTTGTAAAAATAAGTTGTATTTACTACTTCTACCCAAAAGTAATCTCTGATATGTAAATAGCAAGTTGCGTTCAGGAACAAATTTTTTTCTCAACAACTCTATTTTGTTGTGATATTCTTGAAATGATTCCTTTTTAATACCATTTTTTTCACAAAAATTGATGAATGTTTTCATTCACCCATGATCATTTCTTATAGAAATAGAGGTTAGGCTTTTTTTTTTTTCATTTTGAATAATTTTACAAAATTTATAAAAGATATCAAAAGAATCATCTAGGTTAAAAATTGTAATCATGTCCATTTAGTATAATATCTATGATGATTAGACCATACTTTTTACCACCAATAGATGAGGTTCTTATTTTACCGTCTAAATCAATTTGTAAGAACTTAAGTGATTTCTCATATATGACAAAAATTTTAATTTTAAAGAACACTTTTATTTGTTTTTCTTATATGACAAAAATTTTAGTTTTAAAGAACACTTTTATTTGTTTTTCTTCCGTACATGCATCACAAAGAAGATTATCTTTGAATGACTAATAGTCCTCTCACAATGTTTTGTTTCTATAGCTATGATATTAAATTGAAACTTGCATGTCCACACTTTTTATGCAAGACCCAATGATTTTTTTTTTTATTGACACAAGACACTATTTTTTGAGGTTATAATTCAACCAATTTAATCTTATACAAATTACCTTGTCTCTTGGTGATAAGTGCATAAAGGAGTCAAGAATAAATTTAAAATTCTAATTGTATTTTTTGAATTTTAAATTTTGTAGTTTTTTTTATTGGACCTTGTATGAGTTTCCATAATTTTATAATTAGAAACATTTTAGCATTAGTTTCTGTTAGAATTTAGATGAATTGTTGAATGATCTAATTAAGGGTGATACAACTTATTGGAAGGTGATGGGTTATAGCTCCTTCAAAGTTTAATAACTTACATATGCATATTTATGATTTTTTCTTCTCCTAATTTTAATTATCATTAAATATACTTATATATTTATAATTTTGTTCTCTTATATTTTTATATTTTTATATTTTTTCATTTTTTATATTTGTTTATTATTATTAATAATATATTATTTGATTCTTAAAATCCATCACTATTAATTAAGAATGAATCTTGAATCTTAGATTCATAATATATAAGACTCATTGTATATTTCTCCTTATAGATATAATTAACTTAGTTTTTGGAGAAATTCCAACGTTGTTATAAAAACAAATTGATTCTTATATTTGAATTTTTAATTTAAAATTCCTTGACTTATCAATTTAGACTGTGATGTCTTTATTTTGTATCGTCGTCTGTAACTTTTATTTTCTTTTTATTATTATTTGATCAATTAAATTACTCAAAAAGATCTTAAACGTTAATATGAAATTAGATTTTTATCATTTATCAAAGCTTGATTATGAAATTTTCGTAATAATTTTGAAATTTTTTTGTGAAGCATGCATGATTTAATTAGTAATTGGATTTTCGTTGATATTTTTTTCTTGCGAAAATTTAAATCAGCATATTCATGCCTTAGTCGTGCACTTTTCTTATGGTATATTTCAAGTGCATTTCCATGTGATTAGTCGTAATGAATTGAAACGACAAAGGAATCAAAGTAGCATTTGAAGCATGAGATGTTCAACGTTATTTCCTTTCTCGTCAATTGGAAACTAATCCAAGGAGTAGCATGCAGATCAAGCAGTTTGAAATTCTGAAAGTATACGTCCAGTGAAAAGCATTGAAGTGGTAAGTTAATTTGATCATTAAAACGATGCATTTGTATTTTGCGGTGTCTTCAATCTATTTTCGGAGCAAATCACATGATCCGAGTTTGAAACATTGATCAAGCGTGCAATAGGAGCAATCAGAGCAACCAACTCTCGGTCGTGTAATTTCAACTCAGTCATTTTGTTCGGGCATTATGTAATTCGCTACATGGATCATTGCCGCTATCGGATGAGTTTTGTTAATTCAGTGACTGCTGAAACAAACATAATTGGAAGCAGTTGAATCATCAAGCATCAAGTTATCATTCGCTTCAATCGATTCATCTGAACAGGTTATTGGTTGTTATATATTGGGAGGGAGGTGTATACTATTTCGTTTTACCTTGAACGTTTTCTCTCTAAAAACAACATTCTGCATATTTCTAATCTCATCCTCACGTGTAATCATGATCACTTGGAGAATTGAAAATTGGAATTGGAGTGTAGCGCGTGGCTTTTGATTGGAATTGAAAAATAGGTTCTTCAATTCTTGAGGTGTGAGTACTGTTTTGTGGTTGTGGAAGTAATTGCCATTTTAGATAAGAGGTGCAATAACATTGTTTTGCTAATCATTGAGAAATTTGTGAAGCGAATTGGAAGCTGCGATTGAATCAATTGGTTCACACGTTCGGTGGCAACTTCTTAGCTTATTCCAATTGAAGTAATTTTGAGCACCTGAAACAATTATCCAATTTTATTGAATCCATGTTGATGAATTGAACCAGTGCAGTTTTCCTGGTTTTCATAGTGATGATTCTGCAGCAGCTTTGGAATCAGATTAGTTCACTTTGAATTCGACTAAAACGATACAGCTGAATTGGTGCAGGTACATATTTAATTTAGCATTCGTTTGCACATTATTATTATTATTTTGAGTTTTTTTTTTTTTTTTTACTTTTAGTTTTTTTTTTCCTTGAATATTTTGTATGTTAATTTTCTTTGCTTCCTAATTGTGAGACATAATTTAATGATTTAAATTGTTAGAATATCTTATATGTTTGAGATTGAATTTTAAGAATACAAAATTAAGAGTTAAGTATATTTATTCCGAAATTTTCTTAAAGTTGAGTTTAAGTCTTAAAAAATTTAAATTACAAATAAAGTAAATTATATAAAAGTGAGTAGATGACTAAAAGTGTGTGTTTTATATTTATCTTGAGACTTACATTTAGTTTTAATTAAGTTTTTTTATTGGATTTTCAATACCACCTCCTTAATATATTATGTCCACTTCAATTTTAAAATTTTAACTAAATATGGATTCTAAATAAAATTGATTAGAAATTGAATTTTATTTAATTTCAATTTGCTAGAAATTAATAGAAGAAGGAACAATAAAAAGTTAGTAGTACGAAGAAACTTTCTCATTGAATGCAATTATGGTGTTTTTGCAATTATGAAAAGTGATAGAAAACATGACTATGATAAATTTGGATACCTCAAAGCTTACAATATTTTCATCAGTACTATAATAAGCAACTCAAAAAGATATAAAGATATTTAGGTAAACGAACCCTGAGATAACATATTTTGATTACTATGGTGTTGTCAAACATTTATTTCAAGCACCACAATAATATGGTAAGATGTGTTTTTATTTATTTTTATTATATACTTAAATGTTATTACTAATTTGACTTTAGTTTATTTTTATTATGCTCATTGGTTTATGTAATATTGTTTTTTCTTCCAATAAGATAGAGACTTTGAGAACATGTGAGCATGTTCTGGAAAGGGTGAACCTTATATAATCTTAGTGCACAAACATTTTGTGGAAGTGATGGTGCAATAGTTTGCACTAATCCTTCAAAACATATAAATCGGGATGGAGCTAATTACACCAAAACAGCATACAAACTAATAGCAACGGGACTACTTAAGGGTCATTTTGCTCATCTCCTCTCAAATCCTCTCCTTTCAAGATAACATAGATGTAAATTCAAGATAAATTAGTAAAACTATAATTTCTCCATATATTTATTATATATTTTTATCACCATGGAAGATATAAACAATACTACTGAAATAGGAATATGTACTTTCTTTTTAATGGATTATATGTTTTTGAATTATTACAATTTTATAATCTATATATTTTAATCTATTAAATACGGCATTCTTCCAACAACATAGGATAAATATTACCAAAAAAAATTAAAATAACCCATTATTGTTTTAAAATTTCATCTTGAGTATATACATAGTTTAATTTCTTTTAAATATAGTTGAAACTATTTTTAAATTATAATGATAGATTTATAATATATTTTCCTTATTAGGAAATATATATAAAAAAAACTCTCATATTAGGATTTCATTTATACAAAGTTAATAAGTATTGTAGTATTCAATCCAATACTTAGTTTGACCATGCAAATATGGAAGGTCTAACACTTTTAGGAGACTAAGTTGATTTTCTGTAATTAAAATAAAATTATTAAAATATTTTCTTGAAGTTAGAATTTGAACCTAATAAGACTTTTTATGTAATTTTTTCTCATAATATTACTTGAAGTTAGGACTTTGACTCTTAGGTCCATAGTATTTAAGATTATTTGTGTATTATTTTTCTCATAATAAAAGTAATTTAGATTTTGAAATTTAGTTTTACGAAAGAGATTATCTCTAAATTTTTGTGAACAACTTTTTATTCTTATATTTGAATTTATGATTCGAAGTGGTTAATAATGACGCACAGTTAATTTTACCAAATTAAAAATTAGTTATTAAAAAAATTAAATGGATGACTAATAATAGGTTTTATAGTTACTTTTACTTGTTTGTTTACAATAGTTCAAATATAATTTCCGTGAGTGAAATATATCTTAGCACCCCTCCCATATTGTTGATTACACTAACCTATGATCATTTTACTTAACTGAGGCGTATGGGATGCCATTTTTACCAGCCTTTCTAACTCTCACAGAAGGATAATACATTAAGAAAGGAGTAAATTTTGCATATGCTGATTCAACTGCACTTAACAAGATTTTCTTGAACGAAAAGGGAATCAACGTACAACTACTTATTCATTGAGTACTCAACTATTGGTTTGAAAAGCTCAAACCATCCCTTTGTCAAAGCAAAGAAGATTTTACTTAACTTTTTGCTATAATCTTTTTGCAAATATTTGAAAATATTTCCAATAAGATTGACAATGTTTATTCCTTTTAGGATAGAGTGTGATAGTTACTTCAAAACTCTTTGTTCCTAGTTGGGTAGATTGGTGGGAATGACATTAATTCAATTATACCACATAAAAAAAGCTTTGGGAAATGGTTTTCACCCATCGTTGATTCAATTGTCAATATCACTTATATCAAATTTATGTCCACTTCACTTTTAATATTTTAATTAAACATGGATTCTAATTATAATTTATTAGAGATTGAATTTTATTTCATTTCTATTTGATAGAAATTAATAGAAGGAGGAGTAACAAAGTTATTAGTACCAGGAAAACTTTCCAATTGGATGCAATTCTATTGTGTTGGCAATTGTGAAAAGTTATAAGAAAACATGACTATAATTGATTTGGATATGCCTAAAAGCTTACAATGTTTTCATCAAGTTTTTTATTATTATGGTGCTGCCAAACGTTTATTTCAAGCACCACAACAATATGGTAAGATGTGTTTTTATTCTTCTTTGTTATACTTACATGTTATTGCTAATTTGACTTTCATTATTCTTATTATGCTCATTAGTTTATGTAATGCAGGTTTTTTCTTCCAATAATATAGAGACTTTTCAGAGCATGTTGCGGAAAGGGTGAACCTTGTAATCTTAGTGCAGAAACATTTTGTGGAAGTGATGGTGCAAGAGTCTGCACTGATCCTTCCAAACATATAAATTGGAATAGACCTCATTTCACCAAAACAACACATAAACTAATAGCAAAGGACTACTCGAGGGTCATTTTGCTCATCCTCCTCTCAAATCCCCTCCTTTCAAGATAGCATAGATGTAAAACAAGTATTTAGGATGAATTGGTAAAACTAGAACTTCTCCATATATTTATTACATATTTCCATCACTATGGAAGATATAAACACAACACTACTTAAATACAAATCATGTACTTTTTTAAATGGATTATATGTTTTTGAACTATTACAATTTTATAATTTATATATTTTAATCTATTAAGTACGACATTATTCCAACATAGGATAAATATTACCAAAAAAAATTGGAATAACCAATGATATCGTTAGTTTGCTATGTTATAAATATGAATCATTGCTACTTTGGACAAAAAATGAATAATATATTGCAGAAAAAATCGATTTGATTATATTGTTAGTCTGTAAATTTTAAAGTTAAGATGTTTTCTTAAGTATATCCTGACTTTAATTTTTTTTAAGTATAATTGAAACTATTTTTAAATTATAATGTTAGATTTATAATATATTTCGTTATATTAGAACAGTATATAGAAAAACTCTCACATTACGAATCCATTTATATATTGCTTGAAGTTAGGAGTTAAAAAAAAATTATTAATATATATTGCTTCAAGTTAGGATTTCAACCTAATAAGACTCTTTATTACTTTTTTTTTTCTCACTATGTGTACTATTTTTCTCATAATAAAAGTAATTCAAATTTTGAATCTTAGCTTTATTTGTTTCTTAATTAAATTCTCATATTTTTATATATTTTCGTAACACTTATAGAAAATTTATTTTGTATTATGGATTATATTTCTCTAATTGATAACTCATCTGATAACCATCATAATTCTGAGTTGTCTATTAACAGTAAGAAGATAATGTTAAATAAAAAAGTCGAATGTTTAAGAAAACAAAAATTATTACTTTTAAGTGTGAAATTATTTAAAAATAATTGGTCTAGTTAAAGGGTAGAGAAATGTAAATATAAAGGTAAGAGTTGTGGAAAATTGTATAGATGAATTGTAGGAACATGTGATCTAAGAAGACATATTCATAAATGGAGTGTATTTCTAAATTATTATGATGTGGGAGTTATGTTAGATAATAAGGCTAGTTTATTAAAGTAATGAAAATTTGACTAAAGTTTACTTATATTCATTTGTTAGATGCATTATTAAGTATAATTTTTCATTTAATTATGTTGAGTATGAGGTAGGATTTACATAAAGTTTTAAATCATGGTCT